TCTTTCTCCTCTCCCAATCCGTCCATCCCCTTTCTCCCATCCCAGTCTGTCCATGTCCCTTTCCCATCCCAGTCTCTCCTGTATCCCTTTCTCCCATCCCAATCCCTCCATCCCCTTTCTCCCATCTCAGTTTCTCTCCTGTGTCCCCTTCTCCCATCCCAGTCTCTCCTGTATCCCTTTCTCCTATCCCTATCTCAGTTTCTCCTCTGTCCCTTTCTCCCATCCCATTCCTCTCTCAATCCCTCCAACCCCTTTTTCCCACTCCAGTCTTTCCTGTATCTCTTTCTCCCATCCCAATCCCTCCATCCCCCTTCTCCCATCCCAGTCTCTCTTGTGTCCCTTTCTCCCATCCCAGTTTATCCTGTATTCCTTTCTCCTACCCCACTCTTCTCCCATCCCTTCATCCCCCATCCCAGTCTGTCCATGTCCCTTTCCCATTCCAGTCTCTCCTGTATCCCTTTCTCCCATCCCAATCCCTCCATCCCCCTTCTCCCATCCCAGTCTCTCTTGTGTCCCTTTCTCCCACCCCACTCCTTTCCCAGTCCTTCCATCTCCTTTTTCCCATCCCTGTCTCTCCTGGATCCCTTTCTCCCATCCCAATCCCCCATCCCCTTTCCCTCCTTCGTCCCCCATCCCTTGCCCACCTCCCCAGTGCCCCCAGTGCCCCCAGTGACGCTGCCCTCCCTCCCCAGCACATCAACAACGAGCACATCCACGGCGAGAAGAAGGAGTTCGTGTGCCACTGGGCGGCGTGCTCGCGGGAGCAGAGGCCCTTCAAGGCTCAGTACATGCTGGTGGTGCACATGAGGCGCCACACGGGAGAGAAACCTCACAAGTGCACGGTGAGAGGCCAAAAAACTGCCCCCAAAATCCTGGCTGGGCTGGGGGAGTGAGGGGTGTCTCGGTTTGGAAAGAGAGGTGGGTGATGAAGAAGGCAGGAGCGTCCCCTGAAATGGAAAATGGAAACCCTCTCCCTCCAAATTATTATAAATTTTAAATTAAGGGGCTCTCAGGCAAAAAATATGGGAGCAGGAATAACAGTTTGTCTTGGTTTGAAAGTCAGGTGTCTGGTAATGAGAGCAGGAGCCTCCCCTGAAATGGAAAATATAAACCCCCTCCCTCCAAATTATTATAAATTTTAAATTAAGGGGCTNGTGCCCATCTCCTGCTGACTCCCTCCCTCTTCCCTGCCCTGGCAGCAGCTGAAGCTGGAGTGGAGCCTGAGCAGCCCCCTGAGTGCCAAATTCCCAGAGGAGCGATCTGAGGGTGACGTCTCCAGCCCAGCATCCACGGGCACCCAGGTACACCCCTGCCCATCAGATCCCCCCAAACTGCCGTGGGGTCACACCTGGGAGCGCTCACCTGCCCGTGCCCCCCAGGACCCCTTGCTGGGCATGCTGGATGTCCGGGAGGAGCTGGAGAAGGAGGATGGCAAAGCCGAGTGTGAGGCTGTGTATGAGACCAACTGCTACTGGGACGGCTGTGCCAAGGAGTTCGACACGCAGGAGCAGCTGGTGCACGTGAGTCAGGGGCTGCCAAGGTGTTGCCACCCCAAAATCTGCCCTCAGGCTGCTGGGCAGCATCCCCTGGATCAGCCTGGGATTCCTGCTCCCAGGTCCCAGCCATCCCTGGGGGCTCACCATGGTGCTGGAGTTCCCTCCTGGTTCTCCTCAGTTCTCCTCAGCCACTGGTGCTTCCAGATCCCTCCTTTGCTGCAGTTTTCCTTCCTCCAACCCTCCCATATCCCCTGACCATCCTTTGGACCACTTGGACCCCTCTTGGTCCTCCCAGAGTATACCTCAAGCATCCCCTGCATTCTCTGCCTCCTCCAAACACCACCGGGGCTGTTCTCCCCCAAACTCTGCTGTCTGCACCTGCCATCCCAGTCCCTCTATGTCCCTTTCTCCCACACCAGTCTGTCCATGCCCCTTTCTCCCATCCCATTCCTCTCTCAATCCCTCCAACCCCTTTTTCCCACCCCAGTCTTTCCTGTATCTCTTTCTCCCATCCCAATCCCTCCATCCCCTTTCTCCCATCCCAGTTTCTCCTGTATCCCTTTTCCCCATCCCAGTCTGTCCATCCCCTTTCTCCCATCTCAGTCTCTCCTCAGTCCGTTTCTCCCTCCCCAGTCTTTCCTGTATCTCTTTCTCCTCTCCCAATCCCTTCATCTCCCTTTCCCCATCCCAATCTCTCCTGTATCCCTTTCTCCCATCCCAATCCCTCCATCCCCTTTCTCCCATCCCAGTTTGTGCATGTCCCTTTCTCTCATCCCAGTCTGTTCATATCCCTTTCCCACCCCAGTCTTTCCTGTACCTCTTTCTCCTCTCCCAATCCCTCCATCTCCCTTTCCCCATCCCAATCCCTCCTGGATCCCTTTCTCCCATCCCAGTTTATCCTGTATTCCTTTATCCTACCCCACTCTTCTCCCATCCCTTCATCCCCTTTCTCCCATCCCAATCTGTCCATATCCCTTTCCCACCCCAGTCTTTCCTGTATCCCTTTCTCCCATCCCAATCCCTCCATCCCCTTTCTCCCATCCCAGTTTGTGCATGTCCCTTTCTCCCATCCCAATCTCTCCTGTATCCCTTTCTCCTATCCCTATCCCAGTTTCTCCTGTGTCCCTTTCTCCCACCCCATTCCTCTCTCAATCCCTCCAACCCCTTTTTCCCACCCCAGTCTTTCCTGTATCTCTTTCTCCTCTCCCAATCCCCCCATCCCCTTTCTCCCATGCCAGTCTATCAATGTCCTTTTCTCCCATCCCAGTCTCTCCTGTATCCCCTTCTCCCATCTCAGTCTGCCCATGTCCCTTTTTCCCATCCCAGTCCCTCGTTCACCTTTCTCCCATCCCAGTTTGTGCATGTCCCTTTCTCCCATCCCAATCTCTCCTGTATCCCTTTCTCCTATCCCTATCCCAGTTTCTCCTCTGTCCCTTTCTTCCATCCCATTCCTCTCTCAATCCCTCCAACCCCTTTTTCCCACTCCAGTCTTTCCTATATCTCTTTCTCCCATCCCAATCCCTCCATCCCCCTTCTCCCATCCCAGTCTCTCCTGGATCCCTTTCTCCCATCCCAGTTTATCCTGTATTCCTTTCTCCTACCCTACTCTTCTCCCATCCCTTCATCCCCCATCCCCCATCCCAGTCTGTCCATGTCCCTTTCCCATCCCAGTCTCTCCTGTATCCCTTTCTCCCATCCCAATCCCTCCATCCCCTTTCTCCCATCTCAGTTTCTCTCCTGTGTCCCNCCCCAGCCTGCAGCTCCCACGAGGTGCCCACACGTGGGGGGCTGCTGCAGCACCCACCTGCTCGAGGGGCACTGAAACACTGCCAGGTATGGGGGATCTGTGAGAGAAACCCTCAAACACTGCCAGGTATGGGGGATCTGTGAGAGGAACCCTAAAACACTGCCAGGTATGGGGGATCTGTGAGAGGAACCCTAAAACACTGCCAGGTATGGGCGAAAATGTGGGAGAGGAACCCTAAAACACTGCCAGGTATTGGGGAAAAGGTGAGATAAACCCTAAAACACTGCCAGGTATTGGGGAAAATGTGAGAGAAACCCTAAAACACTGCCGGGTATGGGGGATCTGTGAGAGAAACCCTAAAACACTGCCAGATATGAGGGATCTGTGAGAGAAACCCTAAAACACTGCCAGGTATGGGGGATCTGTGAGAGAAACCCTAAAACACTGCCAGGTATGGGGGAAAATATGAGAGAAACCCTAAACACTGCCAGGTATGGGGGGAAATGTGAGATAAACCCTAAAACACTGCCAGGTATGGGGGATCTGTGAGATAAACCCTAAAACACTGCCAGGTATGGGGGATCTGTGAGAGAAACCCTAAAACACTGCCAGGTATGGGGGGAAATGTGAGATAAACCCTAAAACACTGCCAGGTATGGGGAAAATGTGAGATAAACCCTAAAACACTGCCAGGTATGGGGGATTTGTGAGAGGGACCCTAAAACACTGCCAGGTATGGGGGATCTGTGAGAGAAACCCTAAACACTGCCAGGTATGGGGGGATCTGTGAGAGAAACCCTAAAACACTGCCAGGTATGGGGGAAAATGTGAGAGGAACCCTAAAACACTGCCAGGTATGGGGGATTTGTGAAATGGGGCACAGAAACACTTCCAGGTGTGGGGGAAATGTGAGAGAGGGGATCCCTGTGAGTAGGGTTCCATTTAATTTGGGATCCTTGTTATTGGGGTTCCATGTGAAAGGGGATCCCTGTGGGAGGGATCAGTGTGATTTGGGTTCCATGTAACTGGGGATCCGTGCAATTGAGGGTCTCTGTGAGTGGGGTTCCATGGAATTGGGGATCTGTATGAGTGGGGCCCCATGTGAAAAGGGGATCCCTGTGAGTGGGGTTCCATGTAATTGGGGTTCCATGTAATTGAGGATCTCTGTGAGTGGGGTTCCATGTGAAAAGGGGATCCCTGTGGGTGGGGTTCCATGTGAAAGGGTTTCCATGGAATTGGGGTTCCATGTAAGTGGGGATCTGTGAGTGGGGCTCCATGTGAAAGAATGTTCCTGAGAGTGGGGTTCCATGTGAAAGGGGATCCCTTTGATTGGGGTTCCATGTAATTAGGGATCTCTGTGANGGGGTGCAACAAAGCCTTCTCCAACGCCTCCGACCGCGCCAAGCACCAGAACCGCACCCACTCCAACGAGGTACGGCCCCACCGTGTGCTCCTGGGTCATTGCTGCCCTCTGAGAGTTCCTCACACCCCTGGGCATTACCCCAACTCTGTCTTTTCCTGCTTTAAACATCTTCTTTGTCACCCTGGAATCCCTTTATCCTGCTCACTCCTTCCTCTGCCATCCTGAGCTCACCCCAGCGCCCACCGTGTGCCCTCCATGGGGACTCACCTGCTTTGATGCCAACCCCAGCTCTCTGCAGAGGTACGGCCCCACCGTGTGCTCCTGGGTCATTGCTGCCCTCTGAGAGCTCCTCACAGCCCTGGGCATTGCCCCAACTCCCTCTTTTCCTGCTTTAAATGTCTCCTTCATCACCAGCATTCCTCCCTTTACCCCTTTTCTTCCTCTGCCATCCTGAGCCCACCATGTGCCCTCCAAGGTGGCTCAACCACTTTGATGCCAACCCCAGCTCTCTGCAGAGGTACGGCCCCACCGTGTGCTTCTGGGTCATTGCTGCCCTCTGAGAGCTCCTCACAGCCCTGGGCATCACCCCAACTCCATCTTTTCCTGCTTTAAATGTCTCCTTAACCACCTGGGATCCCTCTATCCTGCTCACTCCTTCCTCTGCCATCCGGAGCTCACCCCAGTGCCCACCGTGTGCCCTCCATGGGGACTCACCTGCTTTGATGCCACCCCCAGCTCTCTCCAGAGGGTGCCAAGGGGGGTTTATTTTTGGGGAGGGGCCTCCTTCATCACCAGCATTCCCCCTGGGCTCCCTTTACCCCACTCCTGGGGAGTTCCCTCTTTCCTCTGCCATCCTGAGCTCACCATGGGCCCTTCAAGATGGCTCAGCTGCTTTGATGCCACCCTCAGCTCTCTCCAGAGGGTGGCAGGGGGGGTTTATTTCTGGGGAAGGGGCTGCAGTTGGAGCTGACACCTCCCTTCTCCATGCCTGTCAGGTCCCTCTGGCATCCCTTTACCCCACTCCTGGGCAGTTCCTCCTTCCTGAGCTCATCCCAGTGCGCACCGTGTGCCCTCCATAGGGCTTTGATGCCACCCTCAGCTCTCTGCGGAGGGTGCCAAGGGGGGTTTATTTTTGGGTTGGGGGCTGCAGTCGGAGCTGTCTCCCCCCCTCCTCCCTGCAGAAGCCCTACGTGTGCAAGATTCCCGGCTGCACCAAGCGCTACACCGAC